TACACACACACACACTCACACCTGCATGTACACACACCTGCATATACACACTTACATGTAAACACACCTGTACATAAACACGCACACACACATGTATATACACATACTTGTCGGCCTGAAGGGGTAATTGCGGTTATGGGCATGTTACGTAATGTCTAATTATGAGTTGGGCGTATCTGGGGTAAAGGTGAAAGGCGGAGTCAGTTCTGGAAGGGGCGTGGATGGAGGTGGGGCTTGGCCGGGGCAGCATATAAGGGGCACCAAACCAGAGGTTGGGTGCTGCTCTTCGTCATCCGGCCACTTGTCCGATCTTCTGCAATGGCTCTCATCATCCCCGTCACTGCGCCAGTCGGACAGCTGTGTAGTTGGACGCCGACGATGGGGTTGTGTAGAAGGGTCGGCTATGTGTAGCTACGTAGAAATATTACATGGATGTATCGCCCATTGTTGTGCTTAAAGTGTGAGAATAAATAAGATGCCTTTTACACGACGTGTCTCATAATGTCGCTTACTACACATATAAACACAAACCTGCATATGCACACACTCACACCTGCATGTACTCACACACACTTGCACACACATACACACCTGTACCTGTAAATACACACATAAACACCTGCATATACCAACACTCACACCTGCATGTATAAACACCTGTACATACACACACCTGTACATATCCACACATCTGCATTCACACAAACCTGCATACACACACTCACACCTGTATGTATACACATACCTATACATACACCTTTACATACACACCTGGACGTACACATACCTACATATACACACCTGAATGTACACACACTCACACCTGCATGTACGTAAACCAGCATACACACACACTCACACCTGCATTTACACACCTGCATATATTCGCACCTGCATATACACACTCACACCTATATGAACATACATACATACAAAGATCAAAGATCCCCCATATAGCCTAAACAGACTGTAGGGGCAAGTGCTGTTAGCGAGCACCTATGAAGGCCGGAACGGTACACGAAGGGGTGGGTGGCCAGCACCACGCCCGACCGCCTTTGTCCCCTAGTGGCAATGTTTTTATCCACCGCACCAGGTACTCATTTGAGGCTGAGTCGACCTAGGGGCGGCCCGGGACCGGTTCAGATAATCGTCACTGGTGTTGGCCGTGAGCGGAATCGAACCCGGGTCGCCAGGTTCATAGCGCAGCGCGCTAACCGCTACACTACCGCTCCCCATGAGTGAGTGCCCGCCGTTGGATGAGGTTACTAAAGGCCGTGGCAATCTGGTTGACCCGGGAGGACACGTGACCAGTTACGTCTATAAAGGGGGCCTAAGTGGGGGTTAGGGGTGGTCACGTGGTTGAGATCCAGATCCTTCTCGAGAATTCTGGAAGGTGGTCGTGGCCAAGGGCGGAGCCAGTCACCCCGCAGAGAACATAAGCCGGGTCCCAAAGGGACCAGGGTTATTGTTCATCCTGGAAGAAACCTTCGTCTATATTCTCCGTTCAACGAGCTTCCAACACGTGGACCTGGACTCAAGCTGTGGTCCTGGTCCGTAGTAGCAGTTACGTTGTAATTAGTGTAGTTAGCCTGGTGGTCACCACCATAGGTTGTTATTCTCTTAAGGGGAAAATTACTCCGTGTGTTAGAGTTGAATAAATGTGTTGCCTCCAAGTCTACGTCTGCGACTATGTTTAACTCCCTACATATACACTCAGACCTGCACGTACACACACACCTGTACATACACACACACCTGCACATATACAAACATAAAGGCAATTACAAAGATCCCCATATAGCCTTGACCGACTCTAGGGGCAAGTGATGTTATCGAGCGCCTATGAAGGCTAGAACGGCATGCGAGAGGGTGGGTTGCCAAAACCACACCCGGCTGCCTTTGTCTCCCCAGTAGCAATGTTTATACATCGCTCCAGGTCCTCATTTGAGGCTGAGTCGACCTAGAGAAGACACAGTACCGGTTTAGATAATTCTCGCATGTGTTGGCCGTGAGAGGGAATCCAATCCAGGAAGCCTGGTTTGTAGCACAGTTTAGTGCTAACTATTGCTCAACCGCCACACACACACACAGACCCATAGACACCACACAGAGACCCATAATATCTCCACGGAGAGAGAGACACATACTCCAAATATACAGCAGGAATCGTCAGGGTCGGGATTGATTGAACCCACGACCTCCTGCATACCGGGCGAGGTAGTTAACATCTCCACGGGGAGAGAGACGCAGACTCCAAATATGCAGCAGGTGGAAGGGTCCGGGATCAAATCCACGAGCACCTGCTCTTACACCTCTCTTCCTGCTGCTACCTTAAAGACTTCTTCCCTAAGCTGTCTGAGGCAAAGGTAAAAGCTGATGTCTTTGTCGGACCACAGAAAAAGAAGATCCTGGAGTGCAATGAATTCCCCAAGTTCACTCGCAAGGAGAAAGTGGCTTGGAACAGCTTTGACGCAGTGGTTCGTGGCTTCCTGGGAAACCACAAGGTCGAAAACTACGTGAAGCTGGTTCTTCACTTTGGTGAAGAACTGCAGCACAATGGGCTGAAGGATGTCCTTCAAAGTCCATATCCTTGATGCTCATCTTGATAAATTCAAGGAGAACATGAAAGTGTACTTGGAGGAGTAAGGCGAGCGCTTCCACCAGGATATACTGGACTTTGAACGCCGATACAAAGGACAGGATAACGAGGACATGATGCGAAACTACATTTCAGGGCAGATTCGTGAAAGTGATTTACAGTATAATCGTAAATTTTGAAAAACTACTCACTTATAAATCTTTTGTAGTCATTTGTGCATTACTTTACTATAAGTACATTTTGATTTTGATTCATATGTTGTTTTTGTTTGATTTTACGTGAATTAAATACACAAATTCGCCTGTTTTCTCATTGAAAATAGGTAAATTTCAAAATATCACTTTCCTGGTCACAAAAGCAAAGTTTGTGGGAAATAATAGCCATTTTCTATACTTTATAGACATAAGCCATTACGAAATAACACTTACTACCCAGGATTTTTTTTTTCATAGTGTCATCATCCAGAACGGATGGCGGCACTCGTAACGCCTCTTCGTCCGACCAATCGACTCAGTAGTTTTATTCGAATTATTGTAAGTGATTTGTTTACCTTTCCTATACTTTGCACTCATATCGCGTGTGTATTGTGTGTATTGTTGTTGTTGTTGTAAGGATCTGACCCCGGTGCCCCGACTGGACATCTGTGAAAAACACATTTGTAGCTCATCAAATTTCCTCCTTCAACCTTAATAAATAATCTGATTCTGACTGATTTCCACCACTGGTTTACAAGGGGCGTCGTTGGGGAATTTTCGTCACACACCACTGTGAAATGACAATGTTGCCAACCTGAGCAAGATTAATTTAATTTTAAAAAGTAAAAACAATTAAAAGTCGGCCATCTTCCAAGAAACACACTGCATGCATTTTGTTTAACAATTGTGTGTTGTGTGGGAGATCATAGAACGATAGGAATAAGCATTGTAATCAGGTACAGGCGATTTCCCTCGATTCAACGTTTCGGTTTATGCGAAGTTTCGCTTGAACGCGATTTACAAATGACAGACGCTTTTTTTGTTTTTCGTGTAAAAATAAACCATTCATTTAATACAAGCTTTACTACCCGTCTTCGCCCGGGACTTGAATTCTTGTCTAGGATTAATTTCATATTCCCTTCTATTTCACTGAAAAACCCTGAAAAAAGTTGATGCTTGCAAGAAAGAAAAAAAGCCAAAACAATTCAATTTAACTAAATCGGATGTTTTTCGAGTAAAACTAAACCATTTATTTATTGTAACCAGGTGTAAGGCCCCACGACTGAGCTGGTGTAGCTCTCTTTCAGAAGCGACCTTGGCCATCACAAACAATGACAGCTCAAACCACGTGGCAAGATGTCATCAACATCATCATCACGTGGAAATGTCTAGCAGCAGGCAAATAACCCTGAATGCGTGGTGACTTTGATTCTAAATGTGAAGATGAAACATCGGAGGACCACGGAGAGATAGAGACACGCAAACTCCAAATACAGCAGCAGGCATCATCAGGGTGGGGATCGAACTCGCGACCTCCTGTAGACCAGGCGAGGAAGTTATCAGCTCCCTAGCCACTGTGGCGCAATCAACCAAATCGAATTTCTGCGTAATCGAATTTCCTTCGGCACTCGCCCATCGAACGAGAAAGCCACCCGGAAGGCTACGTCATTGGACATCTGTGACAAAGAGCTTCGTATGTCATCAGATTTCCTCCGCCTCCTGTCTAAATACAGATTCCGATCCGCGACAGTATTATGGTGTCCCTATACAGTGCAACTGTAACGTCTCCACATCACCCTCTCCAGTCATTCCATCATGCAGCAATTTGTTTTTATAGTTCTTTCAAGTGTATTTTTATTTATTCCGTTTAATATTCACGTTCTTCAATAATGTCATTACACTTTTTTTGCACCCTCAAATGTGACAAAGGTGTATTGCAATTTTCTTTTCGAGTTGGAATTATTTGTCTTTTGTCAACGTGACACTTTTTTTTTGCTGATTGGCCGTGTCGGGTGGTGGAGGGTTACGCCACATTTATAAATAAACGCGATCTAACCCAAAAAACCTTTATTATGAATAATATTGGTCGCGGAAGCCTACGTGTTAACTGAGTTGGAATAACTGTCCGATACACACCCCCGAATTTTTTATATTAAACCAAACGCGTAAAGCCATTGCGAATTACAAATTTAGTTTCACGCACGTGAGTCTGTTTTTAGATGTTAGAGAAACGCATCCCATTCGATAAATCGAGCGGTACCTTGAACATGCCATTGGTCAGGTTCACGCAAAACTGCTACCCCAAACACCACCCCACCCAATAGTAGATTACTTCCTTTCACCCCCCCCCAATCATCTCCAAACTCTCTGAACACCCTCCGTGACCTGTTCCAACTCCAGGTTAAAGATCTTTCCATTATCTTCTGCCTTACGGGATCCACTGCCTGTTTCTCTATAAATGATGGAATATCATTCCTCACTTGGGTATCTGCGTGACGAGTCCATGGGTCTCTGTGTGATGAGTCTATGGGTCTCTATGTGGTGAGCCTATGGCTCTCTGTGTAACGAGTCTACTTGTCTCTATGTTATGGACATACGTACGTTGCATTTTTTTAGCAGCGTAACACAACAATCAAGACGATTTCAGCGTTGCACAGCTCCACTGGTGGAAGCGTCGTGAGACAACCGAATTGAAGTTTAAAAGTGATTGGATCAACCCAGGCACGTGGGGGGGGGGGGGGGGGGGGTGGAGTGCGGCTGTGACGTCACGACCTACACCAGAGCCCTGCTGACCACGACGCTGGTGGCCACGCCCAGCAGGGCCAGGGTCACGTGAGCTGCGCCCGGCGGTCGAGGAGGGGCGGCGTTGACGTTGCAGCCGTCGCCCTGGCAGCACGTGGTGCTCAGCGTGGCTCCGCTGTAGGTTGCGTCGAATGCTTTGAGGGTGTCGCAATAGACCTTGGGCATACATTGCTTGGTGACGGCGTAGGCTGGGTGGAAGAGAAAGCACGCGGGTCTCATTGTAAGTAACAAAAACAAAAATTATTAAAAATACGTAAAAAATATATATTTGTAATTGTTATTTTACCACGTGAAAGTCCCCGCTGAGCTGTCATGTAGCCCTTTTTCAGAAGTGACCTGTACGTAGTCTTGGTTCTTTCGGTAAAGTCACCACGTAGAAGGGAAACAATAAAATGATAATAATATAAAACAATACGATTCTCACGACGTTTTTTTTTCAAATTTTCTTGCTGCGTTTTTCCACACCTGATGATGATTGCTGCTTTGTGTTGCAGTCGAAACGTCGTGAGAATTTTATTGTTTTATATTTGTATTATTGTATTGTTTCCCTTCTACGTGACTTTACCGAAAGAACCAAGAATATGAATCCCTGCAGTCACGAAAGCTTTAAATCTAAATTTGACTCTTTACGTGTTTGTTGAACTTATTTCGTGCAGTATGCAGCCAACCGTGCTAAGCTGTGCGTGTCTATAAGTGTGTTATGGGTGATTGTGGGACTCTTTGTATGTATGTGTGTGTATGTTTAACTTCTTTTGCACCATACATAGCCCACCATCCTAATTTCAGGTGCGTGGGGAAGGAAAACAAACTAAAGCACAACAATCAATTTTAAGAAATGAGGATGTCAACCGAGATAATGATTTCAAAGTGCAAAGCTCCCCGTGGTTTCCTAATATTGGAAGGAAGAGCGTTCCAGACGGCCGCAGAAGCAGCGCATCCGAAAGCGCCGTGCGATGATGCAGTGGCCACCTTTGTTCGACAGCCAGTCAAAAATACGCTACCACAAACGGTGGCTGATATCGTCACCATTATCATCGCGTTAAAATATAAAGCAGCAGCAGAATGCTCCGAACGCCGTGACGTCAATTCAAAAATTTGAAAGGAGAAAAATCGGATGACCCCAGAGAAATATCAACACATTGGGGAAGAGTCTCCGATTGGGATGCAGAAACCCATTTACTCATCACGTAAATAAACCAATAGACTCATCACACACAGAGACCCATATAAGCATCATACACATAGACCAATAGTCTCACCACGCAGAGAACCCACAGACTCACCACACAGAGACCCATTGATTCCCCACTCATAGACCCCATAGACTCATCACACACAGAGACCCATAGACTCATAAAACACAGAGACACCTAGAATCATCACACACACATAGACCCATAGAAGCATCACACACATGGACCCATTGACTTATCACACGCAGAAACCCATAGACTCATCACACACAGAAAGACCCATATACGCATCATACACAGAGACCCATAGACTCCCCACACAGAGACCCCATAGACTCATCGTGCACATAGATCCATAGACTCATTACTCACAGAGACCCATATAATCAACACACAAATACCCATAGACTCTTCACCGCACAGAGACCCCATAGACTCGCAACACTGAGACTCCATAAACTCAACACACAGAGACCCCATAGACTCATCACACACGGAGACCCATAGACTCGCCACACAGAGACTTCATAAACTCAACGCACAGAGACCCCATAGACTCATCACCACACAGAGACCCTATAGACTCATCACCACACAGAGACCCATAGACTCACCACACAGAGACCCCATAGACTCATAACACTGAGACTCCATAAACTCAACACACAGAGACCCATAGACTCACCACACAGAGACCCATAGACTCATCACCACACAGAGACCCCATAGACTCACCACACAGAGACTCCATAAACTCAACACACAGAGACCCCATAGACTCATCACCACACAGAGACCCAATAGACTCATCACCACACAGAGACCCCATAGACTCAAAACACAGTGAGGGCAGACGCTCGTCTGGTAGTCCCTGCTGAACGCCAGGGGTTCGCCCCCAACCCGCACTTTGCGAGAATAAGCGACGCGCTTACTGGAGCCTTTGTAGACGAGGATTGTTGCGCAGGTGTTGCTCAGTTCATCGGGACACGTGATGAGGCCGCCCTCGTTGCACTCCGTTTTGTTGATGGTCGGTGGGCAACTGTAGCATTTGAGGCTGTGCACTGTATATCCACAGAATCAAGACACAAGAACAACACCGATCATCATTGTCATCACAGCAGGCAATCAGCATCATCACGGCAGACGATCATCATCATCATCATCATCACGGCAGACTATTATCATCACGATAGACGACCACCATCATCATCATCATCACGACAGACGAACGCCATCATCATCACGGCAGACGAACACCATCATCATCATCACGGCAGACGATCACCATCATCGCCATCAGCACCACCACCATCATCATCATCACGCTGCTGCTGCACTACGAACCGGGCCCCCCGAGTTTGATTCCCACTCACGGCCACCAACACCACAGGTGGCGATCATCTGAAGCGGTACCCTGGGGCCTCCTCCCACGAGGTCGACTCGTCCTCAATTGGGTTCCTGGTGGAGTTGTGGTGTGAAGGAAACATCGCCATTGGGGAGACAAAGGTGGCCGGGCGTGGTGCTGGCCACCAACCACCTCGTGTTTCCTTGCCGGCCTTCGTCGGCGCTGCTACTCGCTAATAGCGCTTGCCTCAACAGTCTGTTCAGGCTAAACGGGGGATGTTTGTCTTTGTACGGGGTGTGTGCAGGGTTTATATAGGAGGCTCGTGAAGGACGCTCCTACTTTGGCAGCTGGAGGCAGTCGCCCATCCAACAACAACGGAGGGCTGGTGGAGCGACTCTCACTACGATGAGCGGAGCACCGGGCGGATAAAACGCAGCGAGTTGGCGCAGTTGGGGGGCACAGGTGGTGCATCTGCACAATCATCTCAGTTGGTCAACCCATGTCACCTGCAGAGTCTCAGTCAGTCGAACTGTGGCACCTGGGTCTGCCCCGTGACCTCCTACCGACACTTCACGTGGACTCAAAGTGCACGTAGCCTGGCACAAGCGGTTGTTGTTGTTGTTGTTAGAGGTATTAACGACACACACTGAGCTACACACGTAGCTACACACGTAGCCTCAGTGGCCCCTTACCCCTGGTACAATTAAAAACTAAAATAGTGAGTGAAGTAAAGAGTTAGTTAAGAAGATAAAATGTTTAAAAACAAAAACGGAGCGAGAAACCGCGAACGATTCGAGACAAACACAATTGATGAATGTTTCAACGCTTGAACTTACAGTCTTTAACGAAAAGAGAAGTTCTAAACTTAATTTAAAAAGGGAATGCGAACATGCATACGCAGCACCAAACAAGTCCAAAACACAAGGTGTACAAAACCTCGAAAATTAAAACGTTAAATAACTCTGTCGATGTTGGAGATACTGCGCTAACGTCGATGTAAGTTATATGCAACGGATTTACTATATAGTTGAAACTAACATTTATTGGGTACTTTCTGATGCTGATATAATGACGAGTCCGGTCATGTAAAGCAGCAGGCATCGTCAGGGTCAGGGATCGAACGCATTATCCTCCTGTACACTTGGCGAGGTAGTTAACATCTCCACGGGGAGAGAGACACGCAGAATCCAAATATACAACAGCAAGCATGGTCAGGGTCCGGGATCAAACCCAGGACCTCCTGTATACCAGGCGAGGTAGTTAACATCTCTATATATCGCAGTATCGGCGTTGCTTTGGTGTCGTTGCAACAACAAACAACTCGCCACGCAGAAGTTGTCTCACCTTCGCTCACGAACAGCAACGCCACGAGGAGCAGACCCGGCAGGTGGGAAGTCATGGTTAGAGTCGTGGAGCCTGGCGTTGTGGCGCTTTTGGGATGGAAAGTCGGCGAGTTGAGAGAGACAGAGTTAAAGTGTCGGGGAGGGAGAGAGAGATATATATATATCCCTGGAGGGTTGACTGCAACTGCGTGGGGAACTGGGATACTTTATAAGCCCCAGAGATTAACGGGATTGGGGAAGACACTCCTACAATCATATTTGTATATCTGCTATACGCAGTTGGGGGTGGTTTGTAAATATATATTTATTTATCGGAGCTCTTTGCTCAACAGCAGCAAATGTGGCTGGCACACAAAGTGGGGTGTGGTCGGTGTGGTGGGTGGGGTGGGTGCGGTGGATGGCCAGCGCCACGCGCTCACGGCCGCCTTTGTCTCTCCCCACTGCAATCATATACACCCACGAACACCTGCATGCACACACACCTGTACATATACACTCACACATGCATGCAAACATACCTGTACATATACACAAACCTATAAATATACCCACACAACTGCATGTAAACACACACCTGCATTTGCACACACCTGTAAATACACACCTGCATATACACGCGAAACACACAAACATACATATACACACCTGCATGTACACACACCTGCATATACACTCACACGTGCATGTTCACACACGTATACATACATACAAGCACACCCACGCACACCTGCATGCACACAACAACAACAATAACCGCCATTCACCACTAAGTGGCGGTGACGTCACCACGATGCTTGTGCCAGGCTAGGTGCACGTTGAGGCCACGTGAAGTGCAAACGCCCGCTGGCAGGAGGTCACGGGACAGACCCAGATACCATGGGACAAATGACTGAGATGATTGGTAGATGCACCACCTGTGCCCCCTACTGTGCCAACTTTCTGTGCTTTAGCCACCCGGCGCTCCGCTCGTTGTTGTGAGCGTCACTACACCCCCGTCTGTTGTTGTTGGAGGGCGACTGCCTCCAACTGCCCAGTAGCATCATTCATGAGCCTCCTCCACAGAGGCCGATCTTGACACCGCTGTTACCAGTCATCAGCAAGTCCACTCAGCTCCACATCCTTCTGTATCACGTCACTCCATCTCTTCTCTAGCCCATGCCGCGCCCGTTTAGCCCCCTCGATCCGGCCGAATAAAAGCTGTTTATGCATGCGGTGACTGGGCATGCGGGCTACATGACCCAGTCAACGCAGGCTTGCCTACCGGAGGAGCTCACCGATGGGACTTTGTCCAGATCTTTCAAGGATTTGTGAGCTCCTCACACAATCCAGCCTGGTTAAACCCAGGATGGATCGTCGGCAGGCTAGCCTAAATGTTTCTAACCAGCGAAGATGATCCATTAGGGGGTTCCACGTTTCGCAAGCATAGAAAAGGGAGTGAATGACTGTGGCCGAGAAGACCTGAAGTTTCGTGTGGTGTGAGAGACCAGTGAGCTTCCACACAGCGTTACTTAACTGATGAAAAGATAATGTCGCTCGACTGATTCGGAGTGAGACCTCTGCTGTTAAACTGGAGCCAGTCATGAGCACACTGCTCAGGTATGGGGAAACTCTCCACTCTCCACAACTGCCCGATCACCAATTGGGAGTTGTGTGGATGGAGTGTCCAATGGTACAAAATACCCAGGCAGGTGCTTCGTTTTGGTGGGGCTGACGGTAAGGCCCCACCTCTTAATGGCAAGCGTCAAGTTCAGCAGCAGCGCCTCCAACTCCTCCTCTGAGCGAGCAGCAATTACCAGATCATCGGCATACATAACCTGGTTGAGCAATAGGGAGCCATCCCTTGACCGCACCCGGGCATCGATCAGCCTCCCATTGTATCTGTACCTGATGGAAATTCCTCCGCTACAGATATTGAAGGCTTCACAATTACGTGGTTGAAATAGATGTTAAATAATGTGGGAGCCAGAGGACATCCCTGTCGCACCCCAAGGTGTAGAGGGAATGGCTCAGACTCCCGGCCACGTAGTTTTACCCGGGCCTGCTCACCATCATGAAGGTCCTTAATGATCGTAAACAGAGTGTCAGGGACTCCGAAAGCAAGAAGAACAACCCAGAGCCCAGGCCTACAGATGGAATCATAGGTCTTGACCAGGTCAATAAAGCGGAAATGTAGGTCTTATTGGAATTCCATACACCTCTGCTTAAGCAGACGGACATAAAATATGGCATCTGTGCAGGACTGCCCTTTTCTGAAATTGCATTGGGGCTCCACAAGCCTCTCCTCAGTGTGCCTAGAAAGACGATGTTGAATGATCATTGCCAGGACCTTTCCCGGCACACTTGGGAGTGAGATGTGCCTGTAGTTGTTACAGTATGTGTGGTCCCCCTTCTCAAAGAGGGGAAACACCAGGGCATCCTTCCAATCCTGCAGAACCCATCCAGTGGTTCAGACTGTTGTTATGATGTCATGTAGGGCAGTCTGTGCACAAACGCCACCCTCCCTCAGCATTTGGCTTGGTCTCAGACTCCGGATCACCTTCAGTACTTCATCAACAGATGGCACCTCAGCCAGTCACTCACAAGGGGTGACTTCTTCTTCCAATATTTGAGGCACCGCAGCCTTGGCAGGGTCGTCCCCACTTTGTGCCACGTTGTTTTTCAGGCTGAGGGATTTCCACTCCCCAGGACCTCACAGTAATGCTCAGAAAATCTGCGAACCTGTTCCTGGGGGTCAGAGATTGGATCACCGTTCTTTCCCCTAATGATGGTAATTGGTGTAGTACTACAGGTTACTTTTTTGATGGAATTAAAGAGCGATTTGTGATCGCGGGCCATTGAGGCAGACTCCATCTCCTCAGGAACCCAAGAACACCACCCATATTTGCAGCGCCTCACGGCTCTCCGAACCTCCGAGCGAAGGCTGTCGTAAGCCTCCTCATTCTCTGACGTGGGACGCTGTAGCCGATGAGAGTGGGCCTGTTTCTTTTCTCAGCCAGCCTGAACACCACCTCTGTCAGCCAGGGTCTCTGGAGAGGTCTGGACCGTCTACCCGAATCAGACATTGCAACTGCATGAGCCACAATCCTAAACCTTGCCCATTTCCTCTCGAAATCAGGAGGAGTCGGGGACGATGCAAACCCCAGCTGCAAGCGATGATGAAATTCTCGCTTGCAACTTTCATCAGCTAGCTGAGACCATGCCACGATGGGTTTGAATGGAGTCCTGGGTGTACACCCACCACCGGAGTGGAAGAAGGGCAGGCGCATCTTACAGATGACAAGTCGATGGTCAGTGGGTCGATCAGCTCCACGGTAGGTTCTGATGTCAAGGAAACGGGCCCGCATTCGCTATTCCGTCACTATGTAGTCCAGCAGATGTTCTTGCTTGGACCCGAAATGCATCCATGATGTTGTGTGGATGCGCCGATGCTGGAACAGCGTGTTGGTAATTTAAAGCCTATAGGCTGCACAAAAAAATCAAGCAGCCTTCTACCATTGTTATTGAGCTGATCTGACCCATGCCTTCCAATCACTCCAGACCAGGTACCAGCATCATGACCAACTCGGGCATTGAAGTCACCCAACAGGGTAACTTCAATGCCAACTCGGGCCACTTTAGCAGGCACCTGTGACAGGAGGTCATAGAAGGCATCTGATTAATCGGCTTTGCCTGCATCCCTTCACCGATGTTTGGCTTCGGTGGGGGCATAAGTAACCACGACCACCACTCCTCGCGTCTGGTTGATGGAAAGGCGAGCCCAAAGTATCCTGGGGCTTACAGTTTCCCACAGCTCACCGCCACGCTCCCACGCCCCCTTCATTATTTTGTTCAGAAGAAGAGCCACATCCTGTTGTTGGCATTCTGCTGCCCCGAGCAGATGACTCTCCACCCCTCATAGTTGCAGGAGCCAGAGCCGATCCACTGGACCTCCTGAATACCACAGAGATACAGGCGGTACCGGTCCAATTCCCGACAGAGGAGTGGTAGCTTCTCCTCCGTAGTGAGCTTTCGAACATTCCACGTGGGCACACGTTGTGGCTTTTTGGTGTTTCTGGATGAGCCCCGAGGGTAAGTATTAAGTCTCCTGGCTCCGCCAAATTAGGGTTTGGCCAGGAGACGTCATAGACGCCTGTTCCCCCTGGGCCTTCAGCACAAGCTTAATAAAAAAAAATGTAACTCGTAGTTTTAGTGGTAATTAATTGAAGGTGGAGGGGCTATCAGCCCCTCGCACGCGTCCAGAGCCCCCATTTGGCCAGTGTGGTGCTTACAGACACCTTGAGGGGAATGGCCAATTTAAGTTGGCCCTCCCCCCACGGCACTGCACACCACAGCGTGCAAACACACACACACACACACCTGTACATACTGTATACACTCACACACACCTGTATATAAACACTCACACCTGTATGCACATATACCTGTATATATACACTCACACCTGCATGCACACACACCTGTATATATACACTCACACCTGCATGCACACACACACCTGTACATAAACACTCACACCTGCATGCACACACACCTGTACATATACACAGTCACATCTGCATGCACACACACCTGTATATAAACACTCACACCTACATGCACACACACACCTGTACATATACTGACACCTGCATGCACACACACCTGTACATAAACACTCACAGCTACATGCACACACAACTGTATATAAACACTCACACCTGCATGCACACACACCTGTATATATACACTCATACACACACACCTGTACATGTACATTCACACCTACATGCACACACACCTGTACGAATACACTCACACCTGCATGCACACACACCTTAATAAACACACACTCACACCTGCACGTACACACACCTGCATATCCACTGACACATGCGTGTACACACGTGTACATACATACAAACACACACAAGCACACCTGTACACACACATGTACATACACACAAGCACCTGGATGTACACACACCTGCATATGCTCACATTTGCCTGTACATACACACACCTGTATATACACAACTGTACGTATACAAACAAAAAGACAAGTGCAAAGATCCCCCGTATAGCCTTGAGAGACTCTAGGGGCAAGTGATGTTATCGAGCACCTATGAAAGCCAGAACGGCATGCGAGGGGGTGGGTTGCCAACAGCACACCCGGCTGCCTTTGTCTTCCCAGTAACGATGTTTATGCATTGCTCCAGGTCCTCATT